CCCATTTATCAAGAAAACCACAAACTCAGTGACTTTTGAGCCCATTTATCCAGAAAACCAGACTCAGTGCCCCTTCAGCCCATTTATGCAGGAAACCACAGAAAATGTGCCCCTTCAACCAGTTTCTCCAGAAAACCATAGACTCAGTGCCCCTTCAGCCCATTTATCCAGGAAACCACAGACTCAGTGCCTTTTCAGCCCATTTATCCAGAAAACCACTGACTCAGTGTCCCTTCAGCCCATTTATCCAGAAGACCACAAACTCAGTGCCTCTTAAGCCCATTTATCTAGGAAACCACAGAAAATGTGCCCCTTCAGCCCATTTATCCAGAAAACCACTGACTCAGTGCCTTTTGAGCATATTTATCCAGAAAACCTCAAATTCAGCACCCTTTCAGCCCATTCATTCAGAAAACAACAGACCAAGTGCCCCTTCAGCTCATTTATCCATGAAACCATTGACCAAGTGCCCCTTCAGCCCATTTATCCAGGACACCACAGACTCAGTGCCTGTTCAGCCTATTTATCCAGAAAACGACAGACTAGTGCCCTTTCAACCCATTTATCCAGGAAACCACTGACTTAGTGCCTTTTCAGCCCATTTGCCAAATTGAATGCTAATATTGATTTGTGATGTCACAAAACAGATTAATCTAAGTTATAAAGAGTTGACTTTGATTGTTACACTATGCCAGCTTGCTGCAGACAAATTAAAATAAGCATGCAATGCACATCAAACCAGAGATACAATTCTGACACAATAATACAGTATTTACTCATTACTCAATTAGTAGCATTTACATGAATAGAAAATGTACTTATGATAAACTGACTATTTAAAGACCAATGTCAGAGAACTTCTCTACACATACATAATTTATATTCAGAATAGTGATATAAAATTACTACTGTCATATTTGCAGAATAGTGATATAAAATTACTACTGTCATATTTGCAGAATAGTGATATAAAATTACTACTGTCATATTTGCAGAATAGTGATATAAAATTACTACTGTCATATTTTCAGAATAGTGATATAAAATTACTACTGTCATATTTTCAGAATAGTGATATAAAATTACTACTGTCATATTTGCAGAATAGTGATATAAAATTACTACTGTCATATTTGCAGAATAGTGATATAAAATTACTACTGTCATATTTTCAGAATAGTGATATAAAATTACTACTGTCATATTTGCAGAATAGTGATATAAAATTACTACTGTCATATTTGCAGAATAGTGATATAAAATTACTACTGTCATATTTGCAGAATAGTGATATAAAATTACTACTGTCATATTTGCAGAATAGTGATATAAAATTACTACTGTCATATTTGCAGAATAGTGATATAAAATTACTACTGTCATATTTGCAGAATAGTGATATAAAATTACTACTGTCATATTTGCAGAATAGTGATATAAAAGTACTACTGTCATATTTTCAGAGTCACATACATGTATAGGGCTACCTGTGTAGTAACATAAAAGTCAATAACTTTAATAACAACTTTACCTGCGTTTTATAGGAGCGGTTTACAGCAGGAAAGCAGCTATTAATCTCTGCTGTTTAGGACATATTTTTAATATTGGCCAATATTGACACAGTGTACATGTAATTTTTGTAATGTAGCTATACAGGTAATACAGTAATACTTAGGACACATATGTTATTCAGTAAATCTTATTTAAAAGGTGACCCAGTTTGTTCTAGTCTGATTGATGTGCAAGCACTTTGTGAAATGAAGGCAGATGTCTGCTGTTTTATTTGATACAAAAACTGTTGGATTTATACATTTTTATAAAAAATAAACATGACTTTGTTTACTTCATACCTCAGTGTGAAGTACCAAAGACAAATGAATATGGATTATTACAGTAATCCAAGCATCTAGAAAATCAGAGCAAGTGATTGCTTCAATATATTTCCCGAAATGAAAATACTTATATTAGGTATTTTCAACTACATAATTGATGCAAACTTCTCTCTACCACCACCACCACATCAATCTATCAACCCCCACATGACTGCTCTAATATTCACAGTAAAAAGACATGTTGCATTACAAATTCCATGCATTCAAAACAAAATTATAAGAAAAGTTTTGTACACCATCATGGATTTTAATATTCAATGACCTCAATTGACCACAAATGTGCAAACAATCATGTTACATACAAGTTGTTTGCACTGAATGATTAATTAATGTATTTAGTAAGGCTTTCTCTGATTGTTCATGAATCTTCATCCTAGGACAATTCATCATGTACATATTCCAAGATTTGGTGAATGCTATTAAGAAAACTTAGTGTTCAATTTCAAATTTGTCTTGCTACACTCTGTTACACTCTGGTAATTATATATGCATAGATTAATGTATCCATTATGCAAATTGAGAATATTTACATTCAAATTACAACCTAAAGCAAAAAAAGAGCAGTTTGGACACAGCTCAAGGTCAACTCAAGGTCAAGTAGTACAAATTCATCATGGTAGCACATCTGTCAAGTTTATGACTCTAAAGTTCAATCTTTGTGATTATTCTACAAGCACCCACAACTATCATCTAGAGAGATGAAAATAAGGTCACACCACTTCACACCGGGAACAGAACATGTCTACCTTAAGCGGCTGAATCCATTTTCTAAGAAAAGGTGGTGAAAATTGTTCAGATAAAGGTGTCGCAGACTTGGACCGCTGCAAATAACGAGTCAGAAATGAGCAAAAATGGTGATATTAGATATAGTATTCAATAAATTATCATCATCCACTTCTGCAACACAGGTTAAAATGAATCAATATTGGGATAATATTAGTCAGGAAAGTTTGAGTAGAGTCAGGCAAGCCAGGGTAGAATCAGGCAAATCCGGGTAGTGCCAGACGCGTCCAGGTAGAGTCAGACAAGGCCAAGTTGTGTCAGGCAAGTCCAGGCAAAGTTAGGCAAGTCTGGGTGAAGTTAGGCAAGTCTGGGTGAAGATAGGCAAGTCCGAGCTAAATTAGAGTTAGAAAAGTCAGGGTAAGGTTAGAAATTAGAAGTATAAAATTCAAGATAAGCAAGCATTTATGAATGTCAAAAACAACTGCATGAAATAATTTTTTGGAAAACTGGTTTCACACCAATAATGAATTAACGTGATGGTACCGAAAAGGGTTACCTTTAGAAGTCATGCACCAGATTATTTTAATTGTACTAAGCTACCATACAACAAAGTAAACAGAACATGGCAAATTAGTGATTTATAATAACCAGCCATGTGAAGTGAGAGCTATTGAAGAGAGATTTTACCAAGGTTAGTATATGGACAAGAAGAAACAGGTAGGGTCACCTAAATAATTCACTGTACCTGCTGTCTAAAAAAATATGGTTTCTCACTTGTGCCAACTGGTGAAAATACATCAGCCATGGATATACCATGTCGCTGTCAAACAAAATAAATATAAAAATCCATATATGACAAATTTATTGCAATTATAGTTAACAGTCACTACAATCACTGCTACAGATGAATTGTTTGAAAAGTGGAAATCTCTGATTCATTTAAAAAATTTTATGAATTATTTCTCACATTTCGTGATTCGATCATAACTCTGAGTGCAACCATCTCTGAATACCTTGAGTCAGAAATTCAGTCAGCAAAATGTCTTTTTGGTTTGAACATCACCTGCAATTTTGATGAATGGTTGATATAACCAGAAAACACAGACATAACACATGCACCACTGTCTGTGTTTTGAATCATCGGACTAATTGCCTGACGAGCACTGGTAGTAGGGGTATTCAGAGACACTAACAAGACCATCAGCGGACTAATTGCCTGACTAGTAACTGGTAGTAGGGGTATTCAGAGACACTAACAAGACCATCAGCTGACTAATTGCCTGACTAGTACTGGTAGTAGGGGTATTCAGAGACACTAACAAGACCATCAGCTGACTAATTGCCTGACTAGTACTGGTAGTAGGGGTATTCAGAGACACTAACAAGACCATCAGCTGACTAATTGCCTGACTAGTACTGGTAGTAGGGGTATTCAGAGACACTAACAAGACCATCAGCTGACTAATTGCCTGACTAGTACTGGTAGTAGGGGTATTCAGAGACACTAACAAGACCATC